ATCTCTATTGAGTTAATACGATACATAATGATTAACTAAAGTTCCTGTTTATTCAGATTTCCTTAATTTTTACTTAATGTGCAAGACTCCAAAAGAGATAGTATTTAGCTGTCGTGTCCCTTTAGTTTCTGAGACTTGCCTTGTTTTGGTGACTTTGATAGCTTGGAGGAGTGTAGATCAGGTACTTTGCTGGATGTGCCTCTATTGGAGTCTTTGTTTCTCCCACAGTTGGCCTGGGGCTGTGGGAGGAAGGCCAAAGATGTGATATTTTCATGGTATCTTACCAAAGGCATAAACATCAGCATGATTTACCAATTTTGCTTTGAGACGGAGCCTCACTATGCAGACCAGGCTGGACTCAAATTCCCAGAGATCTGCCTGCCTCTGTCTCCCAAGTGCTGGGATTAAAGGCAAAAGTAGCACCACGCCTGGCATGATTTACCAGTGTCGATGTTGTCCTTGGTCACCTGGCTGAGGTAATGTTAGTCAAGTTGCTCTGTAGTAGATATTTCTTTCTCAACTCTTACTAGAAAGTCAGTATGCGAAGCACACACTTGAGTAGAGACTTGTGTTCTCCCACTTTGAGGACAAATTAACACGTAAATTACTTGATTTTTGTAAAGCTAGGCTTTTACTCTGTAGCCTAAGATGGCCTTGAGCTATAAATAATCTTTCTGTCTCTGCCTCCTGAGTACTAGGATTATAGGTGTGAGTCACCATCCGAGCTTTGAATTCTTTAAAAAATATCTTTAAAGATGTATTTTTATTATTTTTGTGTATCTTTGTGTGTGTGTGTGTTTGTGTGTGTGAATGTATGTCACCTGTGTGCATGCCAGTAGAGGCCAGAAGAAGATGTTAGATCCCCTGGAGCTGAAGTTATAGGTAGTTGTAAACTTTCCAGCATGGGTGCTAGGAACTGAACTTGGATCCTCTGCAAAAGCAGTACCTGCTCTTAATCACCAAATCACTCCTGTAGGCATGTACCCCCACCATTTAAAGAATTACATTTATTTATTTATGTGTATTGCTTATGCCACAGCATGTTTGTGGAAGCTGGCTTGGAATTCTTTTTTAAAATATATAGTAAAACATTTTATTTATTATTTTTATATTTTGTGTATGAGTGTATTGCCTGCATGCATGTATGTGCACCCATGTCATGTAATGCACATGGAGGTCAGAAGAAAGCACTAGATTCCCCTGGATCTGGAAGTAGGGACAGTTGTTAGCTGCCATGTGGGTGCTGGGAATTGAACCTTGGTTCTATGTAAGAGCAGACAGTGCTCTTAATGGCTGAGCCGTCTCTCTAGCCCCAGCTTGGAATTCTCTTTTGTGGGGTGTGTGTGTGAAGGAAAGGCTTTATTCATTTATTTAAATATTTGTTTTAATTAATTTTTTGTGTATTTCATACAGAACATCTCAATCAATCTTAATCATCTTTATACCCCTCCCCCAGCACCCTCTCATAGCCTCCCCACTAGAACTCATACATTCTCTCATTTGTGTTAAGGCCTATTGTGTCAAGTTAGTATCTTCAGACATTCCTCAGTACAAGTTCATCTACTGAGGTCTAGTCAGCTTATCTAGATTCCCTCGCTTTAGAAAGATCAGCTCTTCCTCACTTAGCAGTAATCAGTTGCCACCATTTCTTCAGCTAAGATTAGGGTCTGCTATCCATTTCCCCAGTTCTATGCTGGGTTTTTGTCTGCTTGAGTTTGCATGGGACTTGTGTACTCTGACAATATTGCTGTTGATTCATATAAGCAGGGTCCCAGGAGCTGGTAGGACTCTATTTCCACATGGCTGTGCAACTCCTCCCTGGTTCTTACAATCTTTCTGGCCCTCTTCCACAATGCTTCCTGAGCCCTGGGTGGTGAAGTTTAACATAGAAGTCTTGTCTAAGAATCAGCATTCTGCAGATTTTATTTATTTATTTATTTATTTATTTATTTATTTATTTATTTTTGTCATGGGACTTGTGGTGTAAACTAGGTCAGCCTCGATCTCACTGAGTTCTACCTGACGCTATCTCCCAAGTGCTAGGATTAAAGGTGTGCTCCACCATACCTGGCTCTGCAGACCCTTAATCTCTATGCTTCGGCCGTTTGGGACCTTTTGTGTTCCTGGTCCTCTGTTGCATGGGGGTGCTTCATTAATGAGGCTTGAGAAATTCATTAGTGACCTCTTTACCCCTGTTCTATGTTCTGTAAGCCTTAGGTGTAGAGGTTGCATTGTAGATGTGTCATTTAGGCCTGGGTAATTCATAGACAATGTCTGTGTGTGACTAGTTATGGTACTTGATAATAGTCTCTGTCTGTTGCAAAAGAAGTTTCTTTGATGTGTGGTAACTGGGACATTTGTCTGTAACTATAAGGATACATGCACATACTGAAAAATAACATTAGTTTAGGGATGTGACAGTCTAGGGGTTTTCTCTAAAACCTATGACCTCTGCAACCATTTGTATTTGGTTATGTTCAGTACCACACTTGAGTTTCCACCCATTAAATGGGCTTTTATTCCAATTAGGTAGCTATTGATTTCCCCCAAGATAAAAGTGCCACTACCGTACCAATGTCATGTGCTGTGCTGGCCAATGATGTCGTTATTTGGTCTTGAAGCTGGTGTTGGACCATTGACTAATGTTTTCCCTATTAAGTGAAATAACGGGCTAAGAAAAACAAAGACATATGTTCTCCTTCATATGTGGATCCTAGTACCAAATCCTTATATGTGAATATGTATCTAGATATAACTGCAGGAACCAGGATAATGAAAAGGAACCAGGATGGTAAAGGGAAAGAAAGAACCTGAGAGAGAAGAACAGTAGGAGGCAGATGTTAGTTACTAAGGGAGAAAATGGATGAAAATGGGGGTATTTAAATGGGAAGGGGGAGGCAGGGTTATACAAGGAAACTTGGAGATAAAGGGAAAGAAGGAGCTCAAGAGAGGTGGGATCATAGGAGACTGATATTATTAAGGGAGAAATGGGGAAAATGAGGACAGTTTAAATGAGGAAACCATGGTGCAGGGGTTAGACAGGGAGAGAGGAGAGATAAATAATGCCTAGCTAGTTTAAAAAAACTGGAGGGAACATATTAGTCCAACAGCCCAAGGACAAATTACACATTCAATATCTCTACATGAGTTCAAGTGTATAGCTAAAGGCTACATAACAAGGAACAGTGCCAGACAGGAGAAATCTTCCTTCCGGTTGTTGGCTAGGGTGGACCAAGAGACCCCCTGAATTACATGGTTATTGCCACAACCCTTGATTGCCTCCCAGAACTTGAAGGTAAGACCCTACTGCTGGAGACAAAACATGTTTCAGACAGAGGATTTGGAGCAATGGAACTGGAACTGACCTGGAAGCCACTTCCCCTGAAGGCTAGTACCCAGTTTGGAATTCTTAGCAAACAAACCTTCACATGTAAAAACAAACAAACAAAACAAAAAACAAAGAGCGTAAACAAATAGCAGACTACCTTGAATTAGAAGGATCTTTCTAGATTACTCACTTGGGCCCCAAGCTACAGCAATGAAGAAAATTCTTTCTCATTTAAGTGACAGAATTGAAAGGACCTGCCTTGTCTGGCTTTGTTCATTCTGCATGGCATCCTCTCTGGTCACCTTTGTTGTCTGCTGTAGGGAATGCCATCTTTTCTAGCTGAGATCTGAGACTGCCATAGTTTCTGGGTTTCTGAAATCCAGAGAATGTTGTAGCTTCTTTTTAGCAACTGGAGGGTGAGTGGAAGCCCTGCTCTGGGGCTGGGAGTTCTCCCAGAATCAGGGCCCTTCAAGAGTTACTTTCTTTGAGGATTAGCAGTTTTACAAAAGGGTTTTTAAGGGGCTGGAGAGATAGCTTAGTGGTTAAGAACACTGGTTGTTCTTGCAGAAGACTGGGGTTTGAATCCCAGCACCCACATGGCAGCTAACAACCATCTGTAACTCTAGTCCCAGAGGATCTGACAGCCTCTTTTGACCTCCGAGGGCATTGCACAACACAGGTGCACTTACCTACATGCAGGCAATACACGCATACACATAAAATAAAAATAATAAATTAAAAAAAAGGTTTTTTAAAAAGTGCTTTCCAGAACTGAGGATATAGGTCAGTAGTAGAATGCTTGTCAACATGCTCAAGACCCTGTGTGCCATCACTAGCCCTGGAGAAAAAGGGAGTTTTCCAGGAGTGGAAAGAAGACTGAGGACTAATTTTCTGGGAATGGCCCAGGCAGCTGTGGCAATGTGTGGGTGTCCCACCTACAGAAACTGACTGAGGAGTTGGAGCACTGGGTCTCTGTGCCCAGTTACATTCATGCCTTGCTGAAGGACTCCAGGTACACTCCAGCCTTCTCCACATGTGGTCTCAGGCCCAACAGCAGGGAGCTTGGGTTAGGAATGATGAGGTGGCAGGAGGAAGCCACTTCCTCTGCTGCTCATCTTCCTGCCAGCCTCCGCTCCCCTCTTTTGGGAACCAGCTCTTCAGAGGATTCAGTTGCTGTGGTGAGCTCCAAGGAGGGGCACTGTGAGGGCTTTGGGGACCAGTCTGCTAGTAAAAGCCCGGGAGCCCTCTGCTGTCTTCAAGTCCTTGTTCTTTTCCACTCACTCTGCCTCAGGCTGGATCCATTTTCCTCTTCTGCCGGATTATTTATTTTCTGTCTGCTCACCCAAGTTTCTGTCCATACTCTCAAGCACCTCAAAGGGAGCTGCCTTCCATCCCCAGCTCTCTGCTCCTAGCTCCCAGGAGACCCTGGGTGAGTGGAACCAAGGTGGTATCCGACAAGTCTCTGCCAGGAGGAAGGTGTGCTAGTGTGTGTCACCTTCTCTGGCTTCCCTTCCTCTGCTGGAGGGTGTTCTGGGAGACAGTCAGCAGCATCCAGGCCCTTCTCAGAGAGCTGGGCTGTTCCCATGGACGTCCCCACGCCCTTGTTGCTGCAGCCTTCGGGTTTGGCGGACTGTCTTCTTCTGGCTCCTTCTTCCGGCCTGCCTTTGGGGACATGGGTGGCTACAACGGCACGGTAGTAACTGAATTTGTTTTATTGGGGTTCTCAGGTTTTGGATCTCTCCGGGCTCATCTGTTTTGGGGTGTGCTGTGCATCTACTTGGTCACCTTGCTGGGCAACTCCCTGATCATCCTCCTCACCCTGCTGGACTCGGCCCTGCGCTCGCCTATGTACTTCTTCCTGCGCCACTTCTCCCTGGTGGAGATCCTCTACACCACCACCACTGTGCCCCGCATGCTGGCCGACCTACAGTCTTCCTGCACCTCTATTCCGCTCGCCAGCTGCTTCACCCAGCTCTACTTCTTTGCCCTCTTTGGCATCGCGGAATGCTGCTTGCTCACCGCCATGGCCTATGACCGCTACGCTGCCATCTGCCGGCCGCTGCATTATGCCACCTTGATGAACCAGAGAATGTGTGCGGGCATGGTGGCGGCCTCCTACCTGGCGGGCATCATCACGGGCACCACTCACTCCATCTTCATCTTCACCTTGCCTTTCCGTGGTGCCAACACCATCCATCACTTCCTATGTGACATCCTGCCGGTGCTGAGACTGGCTAGTGCCGGCACCTTCTGGGGTGAGGTGGGGAATCTCCTCATCACCACAGCGTTTATCTTCACCCCCTTCTCTTTGATCGTGATCTCCTATGTTCGTATTCTTGTCACGATCCTTGGGGTTGCCACATCCCAGGGACGTCAAAAGGTCTTTTCTACCTGCTCCTCCCACCTGTTTGTGGTCATACTCTTTTTTGGGACTGGGACTGTTGCCTATATGAGGCCTCAGGCAGGTTCCTTTGGGGACACTGACCAGATCCTTACGATCTTTTACACAGTTGTCACCCCCATGTGCAACCCTTTTGTCTACACTTTGAGGAACAAGGAGGTCACCGGGGCCATAAGGCGGCTCATGAAAAGGTACCTTTGGAGTCCTTGATCACCCTCTACCTTCCTCCCAAGATTTTGGAGCTAAGACCCTGATTATGAACATTTTCAAGGAGGGAGAAGCTGAGACTTAGTGTCCACAGGGTGTGGCCTGCTATGCATTGGCATGTTCAATCCAGTGTGAGGCACAGATACACTGTCCAGACCTCTGCTTATGGGGCCTGTTCTTGATGCCTTGTCTGGGTTTCATTATAAGTACAGAACTGGAACAGAGGACAAGGAGGAGGCCAGCTGTGATAGCCTTGTGATGGTCTTGTAATTCCTCAGTCACATCTGGGAAGGGCCAGGGCCAGGGTTTGGTTTGACTTGCAAGTTCAAGCCCTGGGTCTTGCTTGGTATTGCTTTAGGTCTGGTGGTATTGATCCAGCTATTCTGATCTGACTGACCTCTATCTCCCGAGACCCCCTAAGATGTCAATTTTCTTTACTCAATTTCCCTGATGGCCCTGCCCTGGTCCTAGGGTCCTACACATCCTGCTCTCTTCCCTGACTCTGGTCAGAAGGTCTGACGTGGTCCTAGACTCTTGAAATGACACTTCTGTTTCTTGCAATGAAGCATTCACTATTTTTACTTGGAGTCCACCTTGGTTTGTTGGCTGGATAGATCCAGCATGTTTCACTCTTCTTGGGAATCCAGTTCTTTCTTGTTTATGAACTTTCCATCAGCTGTAAGCCACAGGTGGGAGAAGCAGTAGGGAAACAGCTCTCAGGGCACAACAAACGAGGGACTGTAAATGGCACTGATTTTTCTTTCCTACTTTACAAAAATAACTGCTAATTTCAGAGAATTTTGCATCCAGAAGAAAATAAACCTGTCAACAAAATGGCTAATAGTACCTTTGGGAAATTTCAGCAATCTGCTTTTGCTCTGTATTTGGGTGTATATATATATGTATAATGGCACTGATTTTTCTTTCCTACTTTACAAAAATAACTGCTAATTTCAGAGAATTTTGCATCCAGAAGAAAATAAACCTGTCAACAAAATGGCTAATAGTACCTTTGGGAAATTTCAGCAATCTGCTTTTGCTCTGTATTTGGGTGTATATATATATGTATA